AAGTTTAGAGAGAAACACGCAAACGACTAGCTCAAAAACTTTAGACGCGGACGAGATATTTTGACTCGACAACAAGAATGTTCGACTCGTCAAAAACCAACAGATCTTAGTCAGAAAACTATGATTTTTTCCAAAATCGTTATCAGAAACACACATTAAAGTTAGAGAATATACTAGTATAACCTTTATTTTTATCAAGGTGAAAGTATATGAATTCGATCCACATAAAAAAAAACTCCAATCAGAGTAGATTCATCGAGCTTTGAGCTCCAAGCGGATCAAAATCTACCTATCACAGCACTTTATTGGCTTTTTTTAACTCCTAACCAGAAAAGACGCACAACCGACCAAATGCTTCAAAAGTCAATAATTCATATGCTTTTACCTTGATAATAATAATAAAGATTTTAGATGCACTATACACCAACGAAACCACACCAACATAAAGATTTTGGAAAAAATCATAGAGTTCTGACTAAGATCTGGGAGTTTTGACGAGTCGAACATTCTTGTTGTCTAGTCAAAATATCTCGTCCGCGTCTAAAGTTTTTGAGCTAGTCGTTTGCGTCTTTCTCTCTAAACTTGAATCCCCTTTCATATTTATCTAAAAATTCTTCATAAAGTTTAGAAGATGTAAGTTTCTGATAAAGATTTTGGAAAAAATCATAGWKTTCTGACTAAGATCTGGGAGTTTTGACGAGTCGAACATTCTTGTTGTCAAGTCAAAATATCTCGTCCGCGTCTAAAGTTTTTGAGCTAGTCGTTTTCGTGTTTCTCTCTAAACTTGAATCCCCTTTCATATTTATCTAAAAATTCTTCATAAAGTTTAGCAGATGTGAGTTTCTGATAAAGATTTTGGAAAAAATCATAGTTTTCTGACTAAGATCTGGTAGTTTGATGAGTCGATCATTCTTGTTGTCGATTGACGAGTTTTCAAGTCAATAATTTACGGAAAACTTGGTAACGTTTGGTCTGGTATCCTTGTATCTCAACATAGCAACAAATACTTATCTTTATAAGATCGTTTTGAACCTGTAATATCCTATATATATGATATATATTGAACGGTGTATGAGGTGTATCGAAACGGATATATGCCTGTCTCGAACTTGTATCTTAGTGTCTCGAAACGACCTGTCTCGAAACGACTGTGTCTCGAAATGACCGGATACCGTTGGTTTTACATTATGAAAACTATGGATTTAAGAATTATAAGAAAGCATGAGTTCTGTAAATGTGTAATTATTACTTACACCCATATTGCCCCCACTTTTGGAAGCAGCAGCATCTTTTCCTTCATAATTGCTTGGCAGTTCTTTAGAAACTACACTGAATGGATTCTGAGAACCACAAAACTTATACCATCTGGATACATGCTCAAAATTTTTATCACCGTTGAGTAGGTTACTGAGCCTTCCATTACCTAGGATTCAATTATAAGGAAATCATGAAAGCATTAAATCTTCTGGAAGACACTCTACTAGCTTATAGCTTATAGCTTTTGTTTACTGTACAAACTATTATACTTTTGTTCAGATTCCTTGGTATCTCACCTCTTATCATCCCCCAAACAGCAAAATCTGCAAGTGTTATTGATGGACCAACCAAGTATGCAACTGGAGCTAGATTTTTGTTTAATTGCTGAAGAGCCTTTTCTGGATTACTCTGACATCTGTTACAGAACTCCAGCCAATGGTCAACCTTAACAATCAAATAAATAAATAATAAGTACTTATGAAATTATAAACGTTTGCAAAATCATCATCTTCAGAGCTACAGCTGTATGTAAGACTTAACAATAATTGGCATTGTCTTATATCTTTGGTTCAATCAGAAATAAAATTAATTTTATTATTACTTTCACTATGGTTATTTTACGTTGGTCATAAGCAGAAGTAAAATAACCATAGTTTAAGTATGTATGAAAACACTTATATATGCAAATATTGTGTTGTACTGTAAGATTACCTCTGATGCTTGAATCATGTTTTGACCATAAAGCCCTTTTGCTGGAACAAGTCTAGCCAGATGACGAGATACATTGTGATCTCCAGTAAGGGTCAAAATACTATTTTTTATCAAACAACAGAATGCACATTAATTACTTTCTCTAACTATGAATCACAGGAATGGTGGAAAAGACTTACTTACAAATGTGTGGTGTTTTAGCTTGATCAAATGCCTCAAAATTGAGGTGTAAAGGAATGTATGTTTTTTATTTTGGATAGTGGTTAGGCTTCATCAAAATAAGAGGACCTGACCATCTACAAAAGTTCAAATTTTTACTGATGACTCGAATTCTCTCCTCTCAAGCCCCAGTCCTCCTACTCCCCAATAATTGCAATAAAAATGTACTTTAAGTAAAAGGGTCCCCCCTCCCACCAGTCCCACTGACTCTGTCATTTCTGAATCAAGGCTGTTTGTTTGTGTTGCTACTATATCCAAATGATATCTTTTTCTCTTACTCATTTAACTTGATGTATGTAGAATCTCCTAGCTCAACCTTGACAACACCAGTAGACTTGAGGTGTTCAGCAGTCAACAGAGTTGCTAATCAAAAGAATCAACATTGTTGTATTTAGCTAGCCAAACATAACAACTCACAAGCTGAATGGGTTTTGGAGAATAGAGAAAGTGGGGAACTAAGAGAAAAGCCTTACAATAATGTATAGGTGAAAGTCCTATTAAACCCAGAACAGATGAATAGTCTTTTAGCCTTTAGAAGCTGAATGCAAATTGTTGGAATAAACGATCTTATAATGTGTAGTAGACTTGCCCCAAGTTGACCTCTATGTGAGGGAGAGCGAAGCGAGCTTAATATGAGGTCGCGAAGTGACTGAGCGAGGGATGAAGGTGCTAGAGGTCTGCAATGTCTTCCCATTTCCCATTTTGTCATTCTATTAGGATAAATGGGTATCTCACTAAAAACTTAATTCCAGTCACAAACAAACGGAATAAAACTCAATTGCAAAGGAATGATCATGAATGACACTAGATTAAAATGGGTCTTGAAACACGTCGATTTTCTTTGCTATCTTGCATCTTCACCCTTGACGATAGATGCAAGATAGAATTACACTAGGTCCAATACTTTCGGTTCTACCTACTACACGAGCTCATCATACAAACTGACAAGCAAATTAATTTTTGATACRTTATATCAACACCGCCCCCTCCACACATGCCATTGCCACACGCAGCATATTTCCCCTATTCCCCGCACTACCTTCAGATTAATCCCTATAAATTTCATATTTTCCCCCTTTGCCCTTAATATTATCATTGCTACCGATTCCCTATATCTCTTTCAATCTACAATACTCAATACTCTTATGAACTCATTCCCCTCCATACGCAAACGTGACTCTTACTGTACGTACTCTTTAACATTTTATGCACAAAGACCCTTTCCCTTCTCCCCTTGCTTGAGTCCGAATACCTGTGTCTTACATAGTATTCTCGGATTCACTTCCGAGATTCTATGCTTTATATTAAAAACTAGGGTCAGAAATTAAGTAGAGGTGTTATCAGTCACAGTGGAATCAGACGGCTTCATCTTCAAGGTGTTCGGATTCTTCTCGCAGTTGAAGATGTGGAAATTTTGAGTATGGACCAGGCCTGCACTATCAATTTATTGATTTTGAATATTGAATATATGTAATGTTGTGTAAACATTGTACAGACCTTTCATGACAGATGCCAATCGATATTAATCGATAGCAGTCGAAAATGTCAATCGATATACACCGATTGATAAGTTTTCTGTGACTATCGATTGGTTATTGATTGACCGATACCAATCGATATTCATTAACTAATTTTATCGATTGTTATCAATTTATCGATTGGATTTCCGGTCATCGATTTTATCGATTGGCTACCCCGGGTATTTTTATGTAGGCGTAATCACAAAAATACTATACTGAACATAAGATTGGTAATTTTCAAGCTAAATTCGATTCCTAAGCATCGATTCCTAACCCATTATCGACCTACGTCTTAAATAAAGAGCTATTGTTTCTCATAATTGTACAAAAATCTAAGATTTCTTGACGTTTTAAGTAAAATCGGTCACACGTGAAGAAGCTGGGCAAAATTCTGTTTGAAAAACTCACCTATTGGAGGGTTTGAGGTGCTTGCGACCACAGTATAAGTCTTCATACTGGAAGATAAAGTGGTAGTACACAAGATCCTGGCTTGAATGAAGGCTGTAAATGATAATTTCCCTGATCTGGCCGGTAGTTTTACTGCTATTCGTGTCCACATGCAAGCTGATGCAACAAGAGAACAAGAACAGAAATACTCACTGCTGACAAGGAAACGAGCCTGCAGTATGGCGACAAAAAATTACCCTCCTACCTCTCCCTAACTTCTATTTCGTACCACAGGAAACCCACTTATATTCTAATACCACTAAATGGTGGACTTCAGAAAGCGATAAAAACTCCATATACCGATAAAATAAGAATTTAAAAATAAATTTATTAAGGGCATTTCTTTTACAATTTCACGTGATTTTTTTAAAACATATTTATTTGAGATCAAGTACATTGTCTGGGCTTCAGTTCCTGTGATCTAACTACAATCACTGACGAAGGTTACTACTCAAAAGAGAAAGTGACGGCCTCTTGTTGCTACAGATCAAGCATTCGTGCGTAAAGACCGTACATAGTTTTGTGAATACTAATATGAAGGTTGTGATTACATGTAAGGCAACATACTGACACCTCGATTATGGAATGCTGGAATGCTGTGCGCACAGGAACGGCGAGGACGGGGGGCTAAGAATTACAGAGAATTACGTAATTGCCAGAATTACATTTTGATTTTGTCTAATTTTTGGGTATGTGGGATAGGTAGTCGAGGGGAGGACTGCAACACCCCCCTCTTTAAGAACTTTTCCGCCGTCCCTGGGCAACGGTGACAAAAGTAAAATTTCGTGGTCGCCAGCATCGTTCCTCATCAGTCACACCGGGAATTCTAATTCATAGGCTGCCATGTTCGCTGGGGATTCTAAGAAAACGATCGAGATTGAACAAATGAAAACAAGCTGAAAATGGAAAATAAAGAAAATCATGAAAATTAAGAAGCTCGGAAAGAAAAAATAGACCTCTTTAGCTTGATTGTAACATGTTCCCCACTTCAGACCAAGTATCGATTCTTGAGAATAAAATTCTTTGTTTGTTTTATCCGGCCATATTCACGCCATTCTTGTGCGCATTCGTTAAACGAAGTGATGATGCTCAAGATGATGACACATGGTCTGGAGACAACCGGTCCCTTATCATTCCTATCAGGCAAAGTTCTCTATTTTAATTGACAAATAATTTGGAAATACTCGGGAAAATCATTACAATTTTGTGCGCTGCCAAACTCAAGTTGGGCTTCCTGAGATATTTAGATACTAAGATCTGTCCATATGAGCGTTAGAGGATCACGAATGCCATATAAGATTTTGTTTTAAATGTAAATACATCAAATGTTTTTTAGCTCTATGATATGCTTTTTATGATTATCATACTTTTTATTTATTTATTTATTTATCTATTTATTTATTTAT